TTTATGAGAAAAAAGAGATAAAAAAAAGATAAAAGAGAAGAGGGAGTGGAGGGAGGGCCAGAGAAAATCTGAAGAGATTCTGCAGGAGGCACGATACGTGAGTATTGAGCTGAGCGAGGTTTTACGATGCTTCTTACAATCCGAGTCTAGCAGACGAAGTCTGAGCCAGCAGGATGTAAGAATGTGCACAAAGCTCAATATGAAGAAAGGCCTCACCAAATGAAGAGTGATGAGAGTGCGTTTATAGAAAACGATAGGCAAAGCCTAGAAGCGAGGATCACTGTTCACTTGGATGAGTATGCGGTGCATAGAGAGAGAGAGCGCGGAGTGCTTACCTGTGCTGGATAGACGTGGTCTGAGAGAGAGAGCGCCAGCACAGGAGAGGGAAGCAACACCGATAACTTCTCCTAACCCAGCATCTGCCAAACTTTGGCACTGAGTCAGGGATCGATGCCACAACCATGATTGACGAGCGGGGCTCAAGGGGGAAAAGGCTCAGCAGAGCTGGTCCTTTTCCTGGCGGAGTTTTGAGTTGGCGCAGAGGCCTACGAAATGCCTCCTTACCCTTGGAACCCGCCATTATGACGACCTCTGCTGCGCTGTTCAAAGGTGGAGAGATCACGAGGTGGTGATAGCAGCAACAAGGGGTCGCCAAAGCGAGGCGAGCCCCAAAATTTTTTAGGCTGGGAGTGTGAGCTAATGAAGTGGTGTTGTTGTTGTTGTGGGGTGGTGGTGGTGAGAGATGATGGAAGCGAGTAGCATAGAAAAAAAATTGTTAACAGCGCCTTAGGCGGAGTCCGATGGCGGCAAGTTGTTGTTCAGCACGAACAGTGGGGTTGTCCCTTATGTAGATCTTCCATGCTTGAGAGGACCAGCGACCGATAGCTTGAATGACGTCCTCAGATAGCCCGAGGCTGGCATAAAATGTGGCGCCACCTGCACGTGCTGAGTGCCCGCCAAATTCCCGGCTGAGCACGGCGAAGAAGCGAGCATCGAACCACGAGCGAGTGGGGTGGGAGCCATCCTCCCGTAAGAAGAGAGCAAGGCGGGCTTGGTGAACAGACACTAGTATCAACCATTGTTTATGAAAAAGTCTGGGCAAGTGCCTGCACAACTTTTTGGACACTGCCTAGGTTTTTTATGAAATGAGAAATGTAGGGCAAGCATTATGAAATATGTTTCATTCCCTCCCATAGTTGTTTCATATCTATTTTATTCCTTCCCTATACTTTTTCATAACTATTTCTTTTTTATCTGGCCATTTATTTCATTGCCCCTCAGTCCCATTTCTTTGTTGCCTAGCCTTTCATTTCATTGCCTCCCCAGGGTTATTTCTTTCCTACCCAGCAATTTCTTATTGTTGCCTAGCTATTTCATTTCATGTTTGCCTGGTAATGGTTTCATTCTTTTATTTCATTCTTGCCAGGGCAATACATATTTAATTAATTATATGAAATAACAGGGCTTTAATTGTCAAATGAGTATGATATTTGTTATGCTTGCTAGTAGAGGGTGTAGGCCCCATTTCTACATAACTTTCAATTTGAGACCATAATATGATAAGGGTGCAAAGAGATAAGCAAGGTAAAGACATTTTACAAGGCATCACATGTATTACATAATCAAGTCCCAGGAAGATATTTACAACTATGAAATGAAATAGCTAGGCAACAATAAGAAATTACTGGGTAGGAAAGAAATAATCCTGGGGAAGCAATGAAATTGCTCATTGGGTAGGAAAGAAATAAATGAAATGAATGGCCAGGTAGAAAAGAAATAGGTATGAAAAAGTATAGAGAAGGAATGAGATAGATATGAAACACTATGGGAGGAAATGAAACACATTTCATAATGCTTGCCCTTCATTTCTCATTTCATAAAAAACCTGGGCAGTGTCCAAAAAGTTGTGCAGGCACTTGCCCAAATTTTATCATAAAAGTGGTAGGTACCACTCGAACAGAGTCACGTCGATCGACATATTCTTTCAGAAGCGCCACAGGGTCGGCAACTTCCTGTTGTGAGAACAAGATATCAGTACCACGGTAAAAAGGATCCCCCTTGTGATAAGGGAGGTGATACTGAGCTCGCCCTTGAGAAAACGTGAGGGAGGAGCATTTGATGATTTTCCTCCAATCGAAGAGGTCTTTTGAATTTTTCTGGACAAGTTCACCTGAGCGGTGGCAAGCGTAGAATAGGCAAGAAAGTATTGTTGCGAAGAGGAGGTCATCGTAGGATCCAGAGTTACGAGCAATATGTAGAAAAGTTTGTAAATGTGCCGGACGCAGAGGCAACTTACGACGAATAGGGTCTGCGCGGATTTTCTTGGAACCTCGAATAGTAGTTGTGACAAGTGGGTGGGCGCGATTCTTGTCAAAGTTAGGATATAAGTCAGATAGAAAATGTCTGACTCCTGAGAGATATTTTGGCCCAGAGGCGATGTATTGGGAGGTGTAGGCGATGTAGCGAGCCAAGGTTTCAGGGGTGGGTTCGATGGAGAGGTGGTGGTTCATGCAAAAAGAAATGTAGTCGCGAGCTCCTGTTGCATAGCCTTTAACTGTTGATTTCTCAATAGCATTAACCTGCAAATGAAGCATACGATTGTCAAGATCACGTAGCTTCATTGGTGGGCGAGTCCGGCATAATGGCCGAGACCTGCCCAGGGCACTCAAAAGCACCCCCTCCATCATGCTGGCAGGAGGTCCCGTGGTGGGGAGAAAAGGCGGACGGGGTCAAAAGGGAATTTTGCACGATACTCGTTGAGCAAAAGACGTGAGAGGAGGTCGGCTTGGACATTTTGCTTTCCAGGGATGTGATGAACACATAGATCAATGCCTGATTCAATGATGACGCCAGCTATCGCCATGAGTGGACCATTGTGCAATGCCTCAGAGACGCGTAAGCTGTTGAAGATAGCCACTGAGTCTAAACTGTCAGTGTGAATAAGAAGACGGCGAGGGGGTGAGGTGAAAGAGGCAACATGGTGGATGGCTGACATGATAGCCACTAGTTCCAGGAAGAAGATGTCAACCTTGCGATCAGGGGGGCATTCCTTCATCTCATACATGAAGCCTTGATTTCCGTACACAAAGGACATGCCAACAGTTAGGCTAGCATCAGTCCAGAGCTCCAGATCTGCAGCGGCGTCGTCCCAGATACCATCATCCAAGAAGCGGACGCCAACTGCCTTTGGGATGATGCTCACAAGCCAGGAAAGGTCAGAGATAACTTCTGCGTTGAGGTGTACAGCGCCGAGAGGACGAGTTTTTCCACTAGTCTTGTGGTAGAGGGCTGAAAGTGCGGGACGAGCCCAAGGTAGAACATTTAGAAGCCAGTTGAGGTGGCCAGCCAGCCGTTGCCATTCACGAAGGATGGGTTTGCGATTGGGTGTGGACAAGAAGACATTGATTTTCTCAACTATGTCGATGAGGGAGTTCGGAGGAAGAGAGAGGGAGCCTTGGTTGGCATCAACCCAGAAGCCGATGATTTTCAAGACACTCCCATGCTCTTGCTTCTTATCCTCAAAAGGGCACTGGATCGCTTCCCAAAATAAGAGAAGTTGAACTTGTTGACGTGGACGGAGCATCCCATGATACATGATTAAGTTGTCTTCGAAGTCCCAGCCAAAGAAGTCGTCCATGTAGACGTGCAGGCTGAAGATGCCCAGCTTTCTAATAGCTAACCAGCACAAAAGCCCGGAGACAGCACACCAGCAACGGGGAGATGCACGGTTCCCGAAGACCAGACGACGCACAATGTAGAGCTTACCCTCAACTACAACAACTTGACGAAGTTGCCATAGAGGGTGTGCCGGCAGGTTGAGAAAAGCAGACGCTACATCTGACTTGAAAGTTATGATGCGACGACCTGGGTTGTCTGTGTGGGCATCACGGAGAGATTGCCCAAAGGGGTGCATGTCGTCGTAGTGAACTTTGGCTTCAGATCTTGGAATACCATCGTTTATTCCAGAGCCTGAGTGATCTGTGACAACCCGAGCTTTACCGTTCTGCCAAACAATGAACATAGGAGACATTTTCATCCCTGGCAAGAGTTCGGAGTCAGAGAGCTCATCAGACCAACGACCGGCAAATCTTTCTTTGTCTCGAAAGTTGCGGATGGCATCGAGATCACCCTCATCGGTAGAATAGTTGTCAATGACTTCTTCGAGTTCGACTTTCCATTCTCCGTCGTCGAGAGGCCAGAATCCATCCCGAAGACCTGTCATGACTGATTTGACAAAAGGTTGGTTTGGATGATCAGCGAGCATGGACTCGAGTTTATTGATGTTGAAAGGCGTGTCGACCTTGATGTGATCCCGCATAGCGAGGAGGGAGGCTTGAATCTTTTGGTCTTGCAAAAGGTGAGCAGGAGGTGAAGGGAGAGGAGGTGCAGATTCAGTGTAAAGGGCAGCAGGGGAGAGGTGTTTATTGGTTGAGTTAGACCATACATAACGACGTCGAAAGCGAGGTACATCTATGAGTGGGGTATCAAGCTTTCGTTTCAACCCTGAGTTGATAGTCCTAGGCCCTTCCCTTGCCTTTGCTGCTCTCTGAGTAGCCTCCGCTAGCTCCCTTTCTTTGTCAAGCTTGGAGGAGAGTATCACAGACAGGTTCGTCTTTTGCTCGGTGTTGGCCTTCACACTCACTGCAAATCCCATGCCTGCGCCCATTCGGGCAAGGGGCGTCGCAAATGCCCATGTTCCAATTCCGGCAAGGAATCGTCGAACACTTTGAGGGAGAGCTTGTCGAAGGCAATGTATTGCTGCGCTTCTTGGAAGATGGGCTAGTACTTTGGAACATGCGCGCCAAAAGCGGCACGTTAAGTTGAGTCTGGTTGTCCATGCGGAAAGGACTTTTCGCATAGCGATCGCGAGCTTCGACGTCGAAAGCGATGGCAATCGACGGGTCATGAGGTACTGCACGAAATAGGTCAGTGACCATGCGCTGGTAGTTCTGAAGCTCTGAAGAGCGGTGACGATAAACGAGAACGACGGCAGAGCTCCAAGCTCCAAAGACGCGAAGCCATTCGGATTCGGATCGAAGGGGGCACTTAGCCGAAGCTTGTTCCTTCTTGATGAGTGCATAGCCCCCGCCGAAGTCTCGAGGCTCATTGTTGTGGTCGTACCCTTTGTCCATCGAGGCAAAAAGTTTCTCAAAATCAACGAAGTGATCCTGAATGACTGAGCGCCAGATGGAACGGGGAATGGGATCAGCAAGCGGCTGTACCTGCATGAGATTGACGAGGGAATCGATGGTCTTGTCTGTCCCAATTGCCTGCCGTAACTTCCAGGTTTCCTCGATGTGGGGGTCGGAGATCGCAGAAGTCGAGAGCTCAGCCAGATGTGGAGCGAGAGCGAGAACAGTAGCCGGCAAGGACTGGGGGGTTGAACGTTCGACTCCGAGTAGTTTCGCGAGATCATCGGCCGAGAGAAGGGTTGTAGCGTCACTGGGGACCTGTGAACTCGCCAGTCAAGAGAGCTTAGCGTTGAGGATGGCCCACGCAGCGGTGTCGACCGCTGTACGACGATCAGCGGCTTCTCGAGCACGAACCTCTTCCAGGAGCGCGAAACTCGACTGCCTGAGCCTCGTCAAGGCCATCAGGAGTCGATTCTCGGGCTGCTTGTTCTCCAGACTGAGTGTCTGGCTGTTCGTCAGCCTCTCTGTCCTTCTTTTGCTGCTCCAGTCGTTGGGTAAGTTGTTGTAAGTAGTCTTCGCCCTCGGCTGGGGATGCACCTGCGTCTTGGAGACGTTTTGCGAAATCCGAGAGGAGCAACTGTCCTTCCACGACGTCGGAAACGATAGCCTCAAGGGCTTGAGCACGTTGCCGAGTTGCTTCAGCGCCAACATCGGTCATTGAAAAGGAGATGTTGGGTGAGGTCGAATGGCGATGTGTGACTGAAAGAAAGGAGGTTGGATGGCGAGGGAAGCGAGCAGATACCCAGAGAAAATCTGAAGAGATTCTGCAGGAGGCACGATACGTGGAGTGGTACCTACCACTTTTATGATAAAATTTAGGCAAGTGCCTGCACAACTTTTTGGACACTGCCCAGGTTTTTTATGAAATGAGAAATGTAGGGCAAGCATTATGAAATGTGTTTCATTCCCTCCCATAATTGTTTCATATCCATTTTATTCCTTCCCTATACCTTTTCATAACTATTTCTTTTTTGTCTGGCCATTTATTTCATTGCCCCTCAGTCCCATTTCTTTCCTGTTTCTTTGTTGCCTAGCCTTTCATTTCATTGCCTCCCCAGGGTTATTTCTTTCCTACCCAGTAATTTCTTATTGTTGCCTAGCTATTTCATTTCATAGTTGTAAATATCTTCCTGGGACTTGATTATGTAATATATGTGATGCCTTGTAAAATGTCTTTACCTTGCTTATCCTTTGGGGTAGGCGGCGCGTAAAAGCAAGCTATATTGATACTGGATATGCTGTTCAAGTTGATACGTGAATTACGTCTAAGGTGATGCTGACCCACCAGTATTAGCTACAAGCTTAAGTGGTGGCCATTTTGGATGGTATCATGGCCACGATTTTTGTAGTACGTGTTATTCTGATACCATCTCTTTATTTTTTCTCATGGAAGTATGGAAATGCCTTGGCTTGCAATGATGCAGTTCACGCTATTCTTATTCCTTCAACAATGACTTCTACTAGGATTTTTTATGCAACGGTATTGAGATACTGTGGCTTGAATTTTGTAGTACATGTTTTTCCCATACCTGCTTTCATGATTTTTTTTGGTTACGGTATTGGGATACTTTGGCTTGAATTTTGTAGTACATGTTGTTCCCATACCTCCTTCCATTATTTTTTTTGGTTATGGTATTGGGATACTGTGGCTTGAATTTTGTAGTACATGTTTTTCCCATACCTTCTTCCATGATTTTTTTGGTTATGGTATTGGGATACTTTGGCTTGAATTTTGTAGTACATGTTTTTCCCATACTTTCTTCCATGATTTTTTTTGGTTACGGTATTGGGATACTTTGGCTTGAATTTTGTAGTACATGTTTTTCCCATACTTTCTTCCATGATTTTTTTCGGCTACGGTATTGGGATACTGTGGCTTGAATTTTGTAGTACATGTTTTTCCCATACCTTCTTTCATGATTTTTTTGGTTATGGTATTGGGATACTTTGGCTTGAATTTTGTAGTACATGTTTTTCCCATACTTTCCTCCATGATTTTTTTTGGTTACGGTATCGGGATACTATGGCTTGAATTTTGTAGTACATGTTTTTCCCATACCTTCTTTCATGATTTTTTTCGGCTACAGTATTGGGATACTGCATGTTTTTCCTATACCTTCTTTCATGATTTCTTCTGTTATGGTATTGGGATACCATGGCTTCCATTTTTGTGTCCCATGTCTTTCTGATATCTTCTGCTGCTATTCTTAACCTGATGGTACTGGTGTACTGTGGCTTAAATTTTGTAGTACATGTTTTCATAATCCCTTCTGCTTGAATCTTTTTTGTTATGGTTTTGGGATACTGTGGCGTAAATTTTTGAAGTCCATGGTATTACGATACCTTGCCCCAAACTTTTGCAGGAGAAGATACTGGGGTACCAAAGCTTTAACATTATAGACTGTGTTGCTCTCATACCTTCCACTGGAATTTTTTACGCAATGGTATTGGCGTACCGTGGCTTGAATGTTGTAGTACATGTTTTCTGATACCTTCTCCCATGATTTTCTTTTGGTACGGTATTGGGATACTGTGGCTTGAACTGTCGTATTCTGGGCTCCAATACCTTCCTTTGGAATTCTTCAGGAGAGGGTATGAGGATACCATGGCTTCCACTTTGTAGCCCATGTTGCTCTGTTACCTGCCACTCCTATTCTTCACATGATGGTACCAGTGTACCATGGCTTGAATTTCGTAGTCCACAGATCATAATTTCCGTACTTGGATGAAACTCATTGCCAGATTCTCCAGCTAAAATCAATCAATCACTACCCTCCTGCTGTACCTCCTCCTCTTCCCCTTCATCCTGTAAAGAGAACCCCGGAATGTCGACCCCTTGCTCTTGAAGCCACTCCACCATGCGCTCAATCTGAATTAAACGAAGACGCTCCAAATAACCATCCTCCCCCCAGCGAACACTGTAGAGGTCTTTAAGTGTAATACCACTCATCTCCATGTAGGCTTCAGAAAAAAAAGCCCGAAGATGAGGAGGGATAGGATCAGACTGAAGATCCTGCCTGATATGTATGTTAGGATTGCTAGACCCAACGGTCCAAGACTTGAACCAAAAGAAATCCAACAGGGCCTGGCGAACACTGCAGCCACAGTCAAAGTGGTTCCAACGTGCGGCATGCTCGTAATCTCTCCTATAGCCGACACCCTCAATCTGAATGGCAGTATCAACCTTACTGAATGATTGAGCGCTGCGATGGCGACCGTGGTATCGGCAGATGAGCCGCTCACGTTGAAGGATGTGGAGTGAGAGGCCTACGGATGTTGTCCCGGCATCGCGAATTAGCTCAGATATATCTCGAATCTTCTTTTTAATTTCCGACTGGATTGGAGTGCCGTCCAACTTGTAGCGCTCAACTTGGAAGCGCGCCGTCTCTGTGAGTGACAACAATGAATGGCAAATTGCATGTGAAGGAGGATAACATACCTTCAACTTTCTTTCGGGCCTCTTCATCGAGGTGGTAGTAATTCCAACGGGTCTTGTCATAGTCGGGAATCTTCTCATCGTCGGGCTCATGTGACTTTGAAGTTGCACCTGACTTCTTCACCCGATCAGACTCCAGGGAATCCGATGCCGCCCGTTTTTTCGTCAACACCTTAGACCCTTCCCTCCTCCCTCTAATCCTCTCTGTTGCATCTGTTCGTAACCCCTCCAATGCAGTCCCATCGACCACAATGAGCTCATCTTCCGCTCGATGTAACATCCACCTCCAACTGTCAAGCGCCTCATGGGAGACATGTCGATCCATCACCACCTTCTCCAGGCAGTGCCGCCACACTGCCTTTAGCGCATCAACCATGCACTCCTCCCTCACTCGACCCAACAACTCCTTATACGCCTGCTCTGCCTCACTGATCTGGTCCTCATGCTTCTTCAGCTTATGAACCGCGCGGCTATGTCTCTTCATGGCGTGCTCTAGGCCTGTCTGTGTAGCTCCCTCTGCTCCCTGCTGCATGCTGCGGACGGATGCTTCACGTTTAATGACCTTGGCCTTTAGGGTAGCCTCAGTGCTTCGAAACGCTTCAAGAATGGTACTGGCCTCACGCAACTCAGAGCCTGCACCGCTGCGTTCCGCTAGCTCGGTCTCCTGCATAGTTTTCACCAGCTTTGCAAACTCATGCTCCAAGTTGGGGGTGGATGGCTTTGTAAGCAGGTTCAACGAGGATTCCGAACCATTATCGTGCATATTGATGTCCTGTGGTTCACGTAGTGGGAGCAAGGGACCAGAGGGAGTGGCGTTGAATGGGGTTGGCGAGCCAGAGTGTAAGGGAGGGACAGCGAGAAGTGCCTCTACAATGGCGGGATTGGGAGCGCAAGCTGGAGTGGAAGCTGAAGTGGTAGTCGGCTGAGCGGAGGCTGAAGCTAGAGTAGCTGAGTGAAATGGAGTGAAGGGTTCCCGCTCTGATGCTGGAAGACTGGGTGCGAAGTCGGGGACCAAATTTCGCTCTGCAGGCAATTGTGCAGCGGTTCCAGTACGCATCTCTTGTAACCTTTCCTCCTCACGCTGATGTTGCTGCACGACATCAGCGTGATCAGCATTGGCTTTTGTGAGGGTGTCCCGCGCCATTTCCAAAGCTTCTGCTCGAAAAACATTGTCAGTAAGTATGTTGCCCGTTAAAATGTTCTCACATACTTACTTTTGCCACCCCCTTTCTCCTTCTTCTGTGCTTTCTGTGAGACCGTCTGAAAAGCCGTATGAGCCTTGTCAACGGCCTTTTGAGTAATTTCCAACTGCTCAGAGAGCCGTTGAACTAGATCGCGTAGGTTATTGCTCCATGGTGACACCGCAAAGAATTTTTATGCTTACCTGCAGCCTCAACGTCTTCTAACAATGAGCTTTCTGAATTGACGTTCATGATGCTGGAGATGTCACACACAGGCGGCGAATTAGAGTTGCGAAGTGTGAAGAAGCCTCTGACTCGAACTGGTACCGAACTCGTCGAAGCTTCTTTGAACACATGCTTCTGCTTCTGGATCCACGTGCAAGATCTGTGATTAGTCTGATGGTTGTATGATCGTACAGATCGACGAAGCACCACCATGCGTTGCCAAGCTGTATCCAAAGGAAAAGTATGTGCACTTTATTTATTTTGTGCAAAAGATCCCCCACGCGGAAATGACTGAGAGCAGCTTCAAGTTAGTAATTGCCACATGGCGTCAATTACTAAGCTGCAAAATTGTACTTTCTTAAATATAAGCCTGAGCGGCAGAGATTATTCTCATGACCTACCAATTTATATTCTAATGATAATGTAAAAATTGTACGCATGCTGGGACATTTTGCGCACGGCAAAGTTTTGCGCGTGCGGCCCACTTTTGCGCAGAGTAGCAGACTTATTTATTTACCAGATGTAACAGCATATATCACTAGATAAGCAATAGACGTAGACGACGGTGTCACGCGAGAGCAAGCAATGGGCCTAAGATCTAAATTTGTCAACTAAGTAATAGTAAATCTTATGGTTGATGATATTTTCATCGTTGGTTCGTCAGGTGTCACGTGTCATGCATGACATGCGTCACCTGTGAGTGGCGTGGTTCCTCCGACTCACTCCCTTCTCTCTCTCCTTGACGATGCTGCATCGTTTCCTCCTCATCCAGCAACCTCTTATTATTCAAGACTGGGCAGTTGACGTTGATCTCGGTTCTCTGCGCATCAGTGCTTCAGAGGAGAATGCTTAGGCCAATTCATCAAGGTAAGTCGTTTTGGCTGTCTTGTGTTCTACTTTTCTCATTATGATTATCACAGCACCGACAAGCTCGAGCTTTTTGCGCTTTTTTGCCACTCAGAGCAGAATGACTGGCACACTCCCGAGGGCTGTAATCAAGCCACGCCACAAGCCAACTGCAGAGTGGGACGACGGCGAATACGGATCGTGGGGATGTATTGTTATGGAAAACAAGCAGGCGAGTTTTGGAGCGGCTTTTGGGGAGGGGGGGGTGCATGTGATGAGTATGAAACAGGGGTGTATGTTTGGTTTTGGAGCGTGCGTTTTTTCTTTCCCTCTTCCCCCTTTTTACTTCGTTAGGTTGACGCATCTCGATATTTAGAGAGTGGGCATCCCATCAAGTATAACTACCGCAACTCCTCCAGCACGATGGACACCACTTCGTGGGGTCTCCCAACAGCGGCGTACCCTGCTCCAGGGTGTAAAAGTATTTCCCACCGCAGAAGTTGGTGTTGTGGCGACGCTTGGTGATGCTTGGTGTGTTCCCTTCTCCCTCCTCCTCCCCTTTCCTTCCTCCTACTTCGTGCTTCGCTTGTTACGATGATTGTGCTAATGAAAACGCGATAACAACAGGGCAGGTGTACCATCCATATACTCGTCAAGTGGCCAGGGACTTCTGTACGCTTTTGTCATGTGGTTGATCTAGGGCTAGAACAAAAAGGTAAGATGCCCGCAGCATCTTATACCCCTTACACACTACCTAGTTCGTAGTACACACAGCCATCCTGGCCCACATGTCCCCCCAAACTAGACTATCGCATTTCGCGTGACTATTCGTCACCGTCAAGAAGGCGGCGTTGATTTTGGATGTGAGTGGTGATGGTTATAACGCTAAATCATGTAAGTCGGATACAAGTCACAATCGACAACTGTAAAACATGACTTACCCTCTCAACCAGGTGAGCTTCACCATGCATCATTCGAAGTTTGTACAAACCCCCTCCTAGCGACACTTAGTGCGCGCAAGAGGATTCGCGGACTGATGGAATTGATACACTCAGTACTGGCGTGGGATCTTTGGGATTCGCCACACCATCGGTTTGTCCTAAGTTTTTCCTTGGTTTGTCGAATGGGTGGTATAAAGCAGGACATCGCGTCGGTTCCGATGAGGGAAGACAAAGTCTGTCCTGAGACGATACGTTCTGCTTCCTTTAGTATTCCATCCCGAACTGAGGGAATTTTTTTCAACTCACGTAGGATGGGGAAAAGGAGGTAAATTTATCCGCGAGATGTATTGTTTCACAGGATGGTGTAATATAAAGCTGTATCTATTCTCGTCCACGTCCCATAAATTGTACCAGGAATCTTTGTCAAACCGAACAGCACACGTCTGATTACAAAAGGGAGTCCAGACCCCAACCGAAAGCACTACTCCTGTCGCTAAACGGGAGTTGCTGCTCCAAGCTACGAGAAGAAGAAAAGATAAGAACGATAGTGATAGAACAAGACAGTGTGTAATACGTGCAGGTTACTTCGAACAAATTTAGAAACCCTTGGAGAATAATTGTTGGTCAGTGATTGAGACGACGTAGGACTGATCGGACACAAAGCTTGTCCAAAAGAGTTTATCCGAAAATACCTAATATCGCCGTTTGACTTGAGTGTGAATTTCGGATGGGCAGGGTAACGGGAAACAGGAAAAATGAAAGTCGGAGAGGATGTCTTCAATGAATTCCACAAAACAGATTGGCGACTTTGAAGACTTGCCAGAACGCGTAGATATGGCTGACTCTGAGGCATCAGCATACCTAGATTGGCGAACGTGTGAAGTGAGGGCGCACCATTAAAAATTGAAAGCTGTTGATGAGAGTTTCCATCATCTTGTGGTGTGACAGGCGAAGGTAGGGGGACTCAAGTCGAGAACGGGACGGCGAGTAACGAGTGTTTGAGCTTGGAGGAGAAAGAAATAGTATGGAGGAATCCGAGCCCCACCTAGTTGTGGGGCAGCCGTTGCCTGAGCACACGTTTGTTGAGTGAAAAGAATTTGCACTAACGGAATATTTGGGGAAATCGGGGCATGTGCTGGTAATTCTGTGAGAGGTGGAGATGGCTGAAGCAAAAGAGACTGCGGAATAGACGAATTGTTTGGAGATTCGAGAGGTACTTCTGAGAGGGTTGCCGACTCATCAGAATAGATTGGAACACGGCCAGCGGGTTGAAAAAAATGGAGGTGGACGTGAATGCGCACGAGCAGTTAACACGCGAAAGTTTTTCAATGGATGTAAGTATGCTGCTTAATAAGATATGACAGGCGAAGGCAAAGAGGTGAGCCAAGTCAAGAGCGGGACAGGAATGGTAGCTTAGTGTTTCAGTGGCTACGCAAGATCCGGCAACTCACTGTAAATGAACGCATATGACATCAATGCCCAAATTTATGGTCTTTGAGGGCTCTATGACATCATGCGCCGCCGTGTCGCCCAATTCAAGGTCGACCTCATAAACGACGACACCCCTAGTAAAGAGTCCCAAAACAATCAGAACTCTAACAACGCATACATTTGACATAATGTGCACTTTTTCGGCTGTTGTGGAGACATATATTGACGCGATGCGTGCACATACGGACAATTACACCACGTATACTCACACACTGTCCATGCTGAGTATTCCGTTGGTCTATTCACCCCTCTACCACGTAATGACGTCCAGAATTTTAACTAATTGAACCATCAAACCTTCCCTCCGCAACTCGAAGTCGCTCCTTGAGATCTGCCGCTTCTCTCTCCCACTGCTCTAGTTTGGCGTTCTTCTCGTTGAGCTCAGCCTCCTTCTGCTTTAGTGATTCCTCTTTTTCTTGTACCTTCGCGCGAAGTTCTGCATGCCGGGAGTATGCTTCTGCACGGCGAGATGTCATAAGACTGTCAAATATCGTGTCGAAATCATTGGTGATCCTCTCAATATCTTCACGCGCATCCTTGCGAAGTTTGGGTGAGGAGTAGTGGATAAAATCTCTGCGTGCAGTGGGGTAGTGCGCAGTAAAAAATATCCAAGCGCCACTTGCATACGCAAGCCGCTCGCACTGAAAACAACCGATTAACAAGATTTCAATATGCATGAATCAGAGCGATCTTACCCGATTGATGATGTCTTTCACCTGTTCATTGAATCGTTTGCTTAGTGCTTGCCCTTCCAACAACTCTGGAAGTTCACGAGTGCGATGAATTACTATCTGATATTTAGGGATGAGCTTGAGACAACAAGAAAAAAACACGCACGAAATGATCCAAACCCTTGACCAGCACCTTCAACCGCTTGAGAATTTGCTTTTGGAGCCATGCAAGGTGGAGACGAGTGCGCATCTGTTGCTGTTTGAGGAGATACAGTGGTCGGGCCCATCGAAGCGCTAGAAAGAGCTTGATGTCGACGAGGGGTTCCCAGGGACGCTTGGGTCATGCGAGCGCTAACCAGGAATGGATTCTCATGGATGGCCTTGTGGCGTCGATTTAAGAAGGGTAAACAGCAGATTATATACAGTGAAACTCACTGTTGGTGGTGTCAAAAAAGTGACATGTTCGGGCTGAGGGGGTTGAGGTAGAGTGGGAGGTGCCACGTCGGGAAGACCAAGGTCCTCGTGCTCAGCACCATTGGACTGTAGAGAGAGTATCAGTTAAATCTTCCAAAAAAGTTTCCGTGGACTTACAATCGACTCCAAAGATTTGAGATAGGTTTGCCCAGCAACAGTGTGCTCACACTGAGATCGAAGCGGCCGGTCTGGACATTTTCGACAACGCTGAGGTTCTCTAACCTTAATCGGACTCTTCTTCAGGGGGGTTTGCCGTGAGGATCGTTCCCTAGTGGGAGAGGAGCGCTTTTGCTTTTGCGGGTTTCGAACCATCTGTGAAGGCAGAGCGTTGGGAGAAAGTCGAAAGACGTACATCAAATATGGAAGCCATATGTATAAAATGGCAACCAACAAATAAATTGGAGTCAGCTGATTTGAGCACGTGGATTGGTTGCACTGGTAATATTGGTTAGAAGTTCGTGTTTTCTGTGATTCTCTCAATGTCGAATGTCCCAGGGAAGAAGAGAATACGAATCTCATCGCCCCCGAATACTCGGAAAACAATTCGTCTAGCAGAACCCGAGTTACAACACGGTGTCCCATCCACGTCCCAGCGACGCCAATTGGGAATCGGAAGCCCACAACGCCAAATCAGAACAAGCGGTCCAGCACGATCATCGAACAATAAGGGCTCAGTGGGGAGATTGCAAACGCCAGAAGAGCAGCAGACATGTGTTTTGCCACAAACTGAAGGAGCTCGAGAACGGATTGACTGGGATGAAGGATTGGAGATTCAATTAGATGAGGGGTGTGAATATCGAGCTGAAGGGGAGGGTGTTGGAAACGTTAATGATGCAGCTTTAGCAATGCCACAAGAACCCGACATTCAATCCTCCAACTCCATGTTCGTTGAAGAAGTATTTGACGAGCATCTTCCATTTTGGCAACTCACCGAAACATTTTTTGTGGCAAATGGGTGGGATGTGCGCGCAAGGAAACCAACGGTACGTTTCATTGTAATAGTTGTCACATTAGTAATCATCTCGATAGGCACGCTGGTATCACGTACAAATTTCGGGCATTGGAGATGAGTTGATTGTGTCGTGTATGTGCCCTGCGTCAACATCCCGGTCTACTGGCCTTAGCGCGTCATGCTTTCATATCAAATTCCTCCTTGAATATTTGGAGGTAAAATTTCCAAGATCTTCTCAACCCTATCCTCTCCGTGAGTGCAGTGACTATGACATTTGGGGGAGAATTTTCTTATTTTTTGTTTAGAAGATGACAGTGAGGTTATCCTGTTTTCCAGAGAGAGGGGTTCTCAAGAGGGTATCTGGATCAATCACTTCAGCATACCTTCAACTGATATCAATCAAACTTCCCTCAAAGCTCGAGCAGTTGTGCAATTTGATGGAGATGACGAAGGAACAGGCTCTTGGGCTTGTAGCAAGGATTCTGGGCAGAGGTGCCCACATATCGCAGCTGCTTCAAAGTTCATGATGCCTGATCTAGGCGAAGACGACAGGATAGAGAAGGCGTCAAGCGACATGAACGCTCGTGAGTGATCCAGTCGGTTACTACCCCTTGATCGCTTCTAAATATAGAACAGAAATGATACCACGCCGAAGACTGCGTGGCAAAGGTCCTATCTCATATCTCCCTATCCCGCCACCGCTTTGGGCCCGAATTCCTAGCGATCCAGACTTTCCACAGTGCACCAAACCAGTCGATATTTGTGGCCCGCCACCCCTGATTATGTTGACATCTGGGGGAACTTGTCACTGCGCAAACCCTCGACCTGAATATGATTCCTCACGCCCTTTACGGACGCGGAAATGTGTTATCTATGGACTTAATTGTGCCTGGGAATCCATGATCGAGGTCCAACCATGTGGTACTTGCGCAAAGAGAAATATTGGTCCAGATTGTCAAGACCTCGGACTGTTCAATTATGATAATGATAGGCTTGTTACGCACGCGCTCATGGATGACTATACAAGCGCGTACACTGTTTCAGAACAAACATTTACCTCTTGGGTCACTCTACTCACTCGGCGATATGAAACTATGCGCTCAAACACTCGCTTTCTCACGGAAGGTTCTTTTCTGGACATCTGGTTCGCATATGTGCAACTGCAATGCTTCGACGGCGACATGATATGTGGTGTCTGTGGGCCAACACCCGAGGATACTATCTGGGATGGTGTCACTTTGGCATACGGGAAGAAACATGTTCTTCCAACCCTCCGCCCACCAACAATCATTCCTGACGATGCACCATCACGTGGGAGCCGATACGTGCGCCACCAGCAAGCAATACCAGGTCGGGACTTACGGGATGCTATCAGAAGGGTCTGTCGAACAAAAGTCATACGCCTTGTCATTACAGACATGCAGGAAACTACTGAAAACCTTCAAGATGTAGAGGAAGGGGAAGATGAGGAGCAATTCGAGGTGGATAGAGCAGTCCAACAGAGAAAGGCGAAGGCAGAAAAGAAAAGTATGGAAGAGTACAAACGAAGGCTGGATGATATTCCTATGATTTCCAAAGGTCTGGCTGAGGTTTGCTCTGGTCTGCAGACGATTTTCCTACAGGAATATGGAATGCCAGCTCTGGATGCAGGGTCAACACCAAACGATTCATATCGTCTACTCCTATTACATGTAAGTGTTCAGTCATCTGCACCTAATTAAATACTCATTTAATCGGGATTATCATCGGGATGATGATATGTAGCTTGCAGCAGAGGAATCTGTGTTGCAGATGGCCAATCGCCCAGCCTTGAAGGATCTGGCTATTTTTGTTACAGAACCAACAATGCGGAATGCTTCGGCGTTGGTCAAAATTCCAGCTCTTCATGGAGCACTTCGTCATGAGTTTGCAGCTCCATCTGGTGTATCTCAAACTCTTCTTGAGGTTGCTCATTGGCTGTACAAACGGGGAAAAGAGATACTCCAAGAATTAATTCAGAATAACAGTGGTCTTCCAGAACGGTGTTTACCTTCGGAGCACGATGGGGAAGATTGGATTGAGGTAATTGTCATTAAATTCCACATAGATGTTTCACTAAATGATACTTGTTTTTAGACGGGATGCTGTTACAGCATGCGCCCCATTCGACTCCGACCAGCTTATCCAAATTTGAAGCACGACGTACGTGGAGACTTCAATGGTCAGCGAGGACATAAATGCTCAAAGTATTGGGATCTCTACGGCAAAGGAAGTCTTACGGGGGGTCTTATGTGTGTGTGGTGTCCGCATAGCGTCTGCTATGGCTTCCACAATATCCCAAAGGGTGAGGGCCGGAATGATGTTTTTTCAGCCATAGTGACACGCTGGGAGAAGGCCCCAAAGCGAATCATATATGATTTTGCTTGTGCACTGGGGCCCTACTGCATGACTCGAGAGCCACAGTTTTTTGCAGATACTCAATTTGCCGTTGATGGATTTCACGCGAAGGATCACACCAAGTGTTCATCAGCTTCGTTTCTGAGCACTTACACGAACATAGATCCACGCCTCAAGGACATCAACACGAGTGCAGCGGAGTGTGGCAATAGCGGCATCAAGCGGATGAGAAAGTCAGTTCGTTGGATGTCGCAAGACCGAGCGATCATATACGCAAAGATTTTCTTGTCAGTGTGGAATAGAAATCGTATTAGAGCAATGGATAAGGCTAGTAGGACTTAAATCTTAAATACTTATCTTGACACATGATTATTTCCCGCTCTGCTGAATGGAACCACCAAGAGAAATCCCCAACAGAGACTGCAAAGATAGAAGGAATGGTACCACGCAACAGAGACTTCAAAATTTGAAGCTAAAGTATCACAGTACCGCCCTGTAAAAAAAGGAACGGGGACGGTATCGCCGTTACATGCCCTACAATATTTCAAACAGTAGTATTGATAAAAATACTTTCTTTGTAAAAATGTCTGCCGAAGGTATCATTGCAACGGAAGTCTCAAAATTATAAGCGAAGGTTTTCTGATACTGCACCATACAATAAAAGAGAGGAGACGGTATTGCCATTACATACCCTACAAAAACTCAAGCAGCAGTTTCTAGATACCCTCTTTGTAAAAACGGACAGTGGAAGCATGACACAACAGAGGTCTCAAAATTATAAGTGAAGGTATTCCGAAACTGCCCCATACAAATAAAGAACGGGACAGTACCGCCATTACATACCCTACAAAATTTCGAGCAGCGGTATCTGGATACTTTCTTTGCAAAAATGGATGCTGAAGGTATCATGCAACAGAGGTCTTAAAATTATAAGTGAACGTATTCCAATACTTCCCAGAAAGAAAAAAAGAGAACGGAACGGTATCGCTGCTACAAAATTTCAAGCAACTGTATCTAGGGAAGTCCTTTCACAAAGCTTCCGCTGAAGGTATCGCACTGCAGAGACCTCAAAATTAGAAGCTAAGGTACCACGATACTGCCTCACACTAGAACGGGGACGTATCATCTTTAATTTCCCTACAAAATTTGAAGCGTTGGTATCTCAGTACCTTCTTTCCAGAAACTGACGCTGAAGGTATCAGGTCACAGATGATTCGAAAATGAAGGTTCGGAATCTCTGTATTTTGACAAGTTGCTTACTGTAACCTCCTCCTTTTAGATGATACTCGCAGGCGCGTATCATCTTATGCAGACAAACGGGTATCACTGGATACAGGGAATTAAGGATCAATATAACAGAAAGTTATGTGCAAGGTATCCGTATCCTTTTGCACCCTTATCATATTATGGTCTCAAATTGAAAGTTATGTAGAAATGGGGACCACACCCTCTACTAGCAAGCATAACAAATATTGCACTCATTGAGTCTAGCAGACAAAGTCTGAGCCAGCAGGATGTAAGAATGTGCACAAAGCTCAATATGAAGAAAGGCCTCACCAAATGAAGAGTGATGAGAGTGCGTTTATAGAAAACGATAGGCAAAGCCTAGAAGCGAGGATCACTGTTCACTTGGATGAGTATGCAGTGCATAGAGAGAGAGAGTGCGGAGTGCTTACCTGTGCTGGATAGACGTGGTCTGAGAGAGAGCGCCAGCACAGGAGAGGGAAGCAACACCGATAACTTCTCCTAACCCAGCATCTGCCAAACTTTGGCACTGAGTCAGGGATCGATGTCACAACCATGATTGACGAGCGGGGCTCAAGGGGGAAAAGGCTCAGCAGAGCTGGTCCTTTTCCTGGCGGAGTTTTGAGTTGGCGCAGAGGCCTACGAAATGCCTCCTTACCCTTGGAACCCGCCATTACGACGACAGTCTTGAACAGTTGTGGTAAGTGTGGTATGGTGAGGCCAAGTAAACAAACTACAACAGATGCTTTTTTTCTCTTCAACCAGCTGAGCCTATGCTCGGTACTTGGGGTGCAGCAGGCTTACAAATGGGCTCCTTCCATTTCAAACCTAAGTATGCCCTGTTTGACTACTGAAACGTAAATCTCATCCTATTTTGTGTGTAGATATCATCACCTCCAACATACCTCTTACCATATCCATTAATACTTACTTAACCTCAGCCCACAATCTAGGTCTGATGGGCGGCCACTCTCACCGCTGTCAAATGTGAGTCTATCTACAGGAGTCATGGGATGATAAGAGAACATATCACGGTGAGGGCCGGTCTGGATGGTATGGGGCGAGAACATGACCAGACATTGCGAAGACAAATTGGGGGACCAATAGAATTTGATCTCGGCAACTTATTGCATCGCTTTCTTTGCTCATTGCACTGGACGCGCTCTACCGCATGGTATGGCATATGTACATTTTCTGTTCATTTCAATTGCATCTCCTGCTCAATTGTATGACAGCCGGTAAGACGCCATGCTTCAGGAATTTGCGTTGACTTTCTCATTGTCAGCGCTTCCCCCGAGTTGTCAATAAACCCCGGGACATTTTCATGTCAATGATGTCAAGAGGCTTTCTTCAAACGGTAGCGAGTGCCGAAATTGTGTCAACGCCCATTTCCAGGCGCGCCGCAAGGGAGTTTGGTGGAAATTGGAAACTAATCTTGACACTGCCCATGTTTTTATGGACAGCGGCGTGTCTGAGATCCTTAGAATTGAAGGCGAGTTCAATCGCACGGCAGAATCTTACTGCAAGTGAATTGTGAATCGTCCCTGCTGCATACTCAAAATGTTTTGTTGTTGTAAACCTGGCTGACTGCTCATAGATTAAGGCTTCCCAGGCATGTCAATCAAGTGCCTCTGATCATGATCAGTGATTCGGGTGCTCCACCTTCAACCAGAGATAAAAGGCTGCAGCATGAACGTAGCTCTGTAGTTCAACAACTCCACCGTGACGCCAAAAGAAAAATGTCCAGTTCCAACACAGACCAGGTCAGCCATCACTTTGCGACATTCCCTGCCATTATCATTAATATGCTCATTCAATGAAACAGGTTCATGCACAAGCGCCCCCAGCCTGTGGCAACCCCAAAAATGCTGCCCCCCTGCTCAGGGCATATAGTGCTGGAGCTAGAGACCATTTCTACACGGCCAATGTCGCAGAGCACCAGAACGCGGTCGCTAAACTCGGGTATAGCGAAGAAGGAGTAACAGGATATATATTTTCAGACCTCGAAACCAACACGGTCCCGTTATACAGGTTATATAGCAGCACTGCTACAGACCATTTCTATACCACCAGCGCAGCAGAACGAGACCATGCCAAGAAGTTCGATGGATATACCTTTGATGAAGGAATTACAGGATATGTTTACCCAGACGCAGCTTGTGGTGGCCTTCCGCTGTACCGCCTCTACAGCAGTGGAGCCACAGATCATTTCTACACCATGTATGCCGCCGAGCGTGATAACGCCAGCAATAATTTGGGATATACCCAGGAGGGAATTGTAGGCTATATTTTCCCCTACTGAGATGATGCTAGTGCGTCAGCTCCGTTTTGACGATATTCTTGTTTTGCTCATGGTTAAGCAGCAAATACTTAGGATTTGGAATTGGAGGTTGTTGCTAGTCGTGTTATAAATATAAGTCACCTCCCATCTGCTGCTGAAACCTTGATCGGGTGAGCATTTCGCTGGCACTTGCGTGGATGGGAGTAGGGCGCTCGTGAGAACGGTGCTGGTCACTGTGAAGGAGGAACCTTAGCAATCCTAGCCTTGAGCCGTGCACTTGGAACAAGATTAAGTGCGTTTCAGGCACAGCAAAGGACAGGCATCATCATCGCTTGGATGTGTCGCACATTGAATGTGTGACACACATGAAAGGGATGGACACGCAGGTGTGTCGCTCTCTTGCCCCTGTGTGTCGCTCTCTTACCCTGTGTGTCGCTCACCAGATTTGGGGAGTGTGCCGAAGTTCGTATACACTGGTCGATCCTCGTTACTTATTGGGTGACTTCCCATAACACAAATTCACTAGATTTAAATAAATCGACGAGATCTAGGGTCTTTTGCCAGGATGCCAAGTCTTGTAAGGGTTCAACTTTGATGGAGGCCCTGGTTGGCACCCAGTTATAAACCTTAATCTATTCAGAGGGTACAGACCCCTCGAATAGATTTCAAACACTGGAATCAACCCTGCCATCATGACACCTTTCCTTCCTGGGTACGTTTTCTTCCCACCTAGCTTAGTCAGCTCTACCTCATCCTGCTCTACTCTCCTACGGCTGAGGGCAGTCTGCTCTCTCGTTATAATTTGAAGCCATTACGGAGTTAATTAGCAGTGCCAACAGCCTATGGCTCCAAAATTTCCCCTCCGAAGCTGTTTTTCCTTCCACAAACAATCTTCTCAGCACATAACTCACAGAACCACAGCATTATTCAGCTCAACTTGACTTTTTCTCGGCTTCATTCATTGTGTGTCCTACTTTCTGGCTGATATGATTGAAGATCAACTATAATACACCCATCCATGGACCTGTGTGTCCTCAAAACAACTCAGATGAGAGGGAAGTAAGTTTATTCAAGTCAAGTGAATAAATCTAATCAGTTGGCGTTACGGTTTATTTGCTTGATTAAATCGCAAGCCAGGGTTCCAATTTCAAACTCCGATAAGGGTCAGATTTATTCGTTTATAAAAATTTATGTTACGGGAAGTCACCCATTAGTGCTTAAGCCTGATTTATGAAACAAGAAGTCGCGAGAGTAAAAGCGAGAATTTTCAATTCAATTTACGATAAAATCCAGCACTTTCATCAGTCATGTAAATGGTAGTCTCTCATAGACAGACTTCGATATATGTGAAGTCGTACCTTGGTTCACGATATATGAAGTCTGTTTGTTACCACGCCCCCAAAACCGCGCTAGAAAATGTTTATGTAATCTTCGGACTTTGAAACCGCGTCGCGTCAATATTGCCTGGACTCTCGACGCATTTTTTGTCGCACAACTTGTTCTAATGCCCCAAATTCAACTGTAATCTCTTCCAGCTATTATTTACCATGGATAACAATGCTCGAACTGTCCGGTCTTACAAGAGGAACTCTGTAATTCAAGTCCCAGCAACACCTTACATTTCGCCATTCCTATCACAAGCTACACCCAGTTCCACAAGTCCTGGATTAACTTGTCGCATTGTCTCCTTATTAGTGCTTGGAAGTTAGGTTAATTAACTGGAAAATAACCGAGACCAGACCGGACCTAACCGCAAAAAAACCGGACCGCGGTTAGTGGTTAGTCAATTCTGGAAATGAAATAACCGGTTATTTTGCGGTTAACTAACCGTTAAAAAACCTGTTATGACCGGTTACAACCGACCCTATTTTACCCCTTCAAAACGCATCTAAAAGCATGAGAAACGCTAAAAATCTGACAGAGTTATGGTCAAATCTCTAAATTATTGGCTAAAATAGTAGGCTTTCAAGAATATTATTATAAAATTGTCAATTCTTCACCGAATTTAGCGTTCTTGGGCTTGTTTTAAAGCTACGACGCATGGCAATAATGTTTACTGCAAGGAATATGAGAAATATACGCCGTTTTAATCGATTTTCTATTTTTTCGGTCCTAACCGGTTAGTAACTGCAACTAACCGGTTTTCATCGGTTATCTTCGGTCCAGTTAGGTTATTTTGGGTCTGGGAACGAACCCTAACCGGTCTCGGTCTCGGTTAGAGCCCCTGGGCACCCAATAACCTAACCTAACCGGACTTTCAAACACTACTCCTTATGGTCTTCCAGCATCATCACCTGCTAAACGAGTGTAACGAAGGATTCAACTCCTTCATGTTCATTCCTTTCATCTCTTCTATTACTTCCATTTACTTTCCACTGATTAAACCACTTCGGAATTAAGTCACACTAGATCACGTGCTTCTCGTATTTGTAACACGTTGTTTACACATGCAATGCATCGATTCTTTACTCTCACCACCACTGCGTTCTGCACACTCGAAGTGGCGTTCTATCGTGCTTCCAACCTCAGAAAGTAAGTGGTGTAGTTCAGGTCCTTCGCTAACGCTTCTATTATATAGTAAGCGTCAGATCAGTCTCAATCTACGTTCTCACGTATAGCGTCCGATATCCATCTTTCCGTGGATTTCCCGGAAAGTAGAAGAGGTTGTAGCCCCGGATTTCCAGAGCCATCACAACCTCCTCTCGGATACGCCCGCGACCGTCTTCGACAAGAGGTCATCACACCTTTGCAGATCTAACTCTCTTGACGTTCGTCAGGACTACGCGTTGTTGGTAAGTTACTACGAAAACTCACAGAGCACCTGCTACAAAGGTGGACACTGTGGGAAATCAACGCGCCCTGGCCGACTCGACAACCATAGACGCTACAACAGCCAATTCGAATAGTGCCGTTCCTCCGATCAGGAGAAATTTGAGCGGAGTCACCACTACAAGACCGTCTTACTCATTCAACCGTGCGGACTCTTCGAAATCGACACCGCCCGCTTCACGTTCAGCCTCTCACTCTGCATCCCCGAAGAAAGGATCTACAAAGACCACCACGAGCAAATCAGCCTCTCAGGAGCTTTCTTCGAGGTCTCATAAGAAGGCTCACGTGGAAGCCATAGTGAAATCGGCACCGTTCCGTTCAAAAACATCCCTCACACCCCGAAGCGCAGAAATCCTCAACACCTTTAATAACACCCCTACTTCCCCGATACACGCTCTGAATTTTTCAGCAGCTACACCTTCCCAAACGCCGACTACGTTATCCAGCGTGCACGTCAGCGGAGAATTCAAGGCAGCAACTAAACCCAACTTCAAACGGTCCCAACCAACTCCTGAAGCTCACACAACGGATCCGTCGAACCCAGTAATCTTACCCCCACCTACAACTGGACAGCCAATTGGGCCGATCATTGAGGTAGAGATGGAGGCAGAGAAGACTAGCCGATTGGGCATGGAGAACGGTTTCGAGAACTCGCCGATGGCGAAGTTATTACGGGAATACTCAGGAGAAGCAGGCGAAACCGAAGACCTGGATACCTCCCTAGTTTCTACACAAACCAACGTAGGGCTAGTACTGGACCTGTTGGAATTATCAGAAGAAATGATAGTAGATAGAGGACCCATTAGGGACAAAGGGCTACCTCGATACCACTTGGATGCCCTGACCCTGGGCAGAATAACTACCGTAGTGACGGAACAACAAATCTTTCTGGAACGAGCGGCTGGTCTCATCGCGGGTAGAACTAACTTCTACAAAGTTGACCCGGGGGACACGCTGCTACCAATACTGAAAGGCACTTCAAGTGCACCTCAGCTACGCGCAGCGTGGGTAGCGTTAAGACATAGAATTGAACTGGGCACGAAGGCCTGGCGTAAATACATAACTGAATACCGACTTCCGATAGACTCACAGCCAGTCCTTTCCCTGTTATCTACTCTGCCTGAACTCTACCTACCACTACAAGACATCGCGGAGCAGGACGATAAACTGCGGTATCTTTACAAGCACATCCCCCACCACCAAGAACAACTCACCAGCGAAGGAAAACGCGCGCTGGAAAAAACCCGCTCATGGCTAGACATCCTGCCAGTACCGGACGCGTTCAAGAACGCTTTTGCGGAAAATAAGATACCATCACCTTCGACGTTAGAAGTTACAGACATAAGAAGGGCGTCGAAAGGAAAAGAAAAGGAGGAACAGAATCCACACAAAACAGGCGCCCAGTCTTCGGTTTGGATGGGAATGGAAACGCCTTTTAAGAGCTCCAACAATTGGTTCGTGAAACCCGGCGAAAGCAATCGAGTGAAGCAGCCAGGGACCTCCAGACCCCCTGCAGAACCGAACATCCTATTAGGAATCGCTACTCCCGCAGCGCCTCAAACGGTGACAGCATGGGAAGGCCGGGAGCAACCACCTCACATGGCCGCACAAGCTCAGGCCCTGAGGTCCGAAACGAAGCCAGGAAGAGCTGAATCTCGAGCGAGCTCCCACGCAAGCGACAGACAAGGTCGTCATCGTCGTCGAGAGCACAGGGAGACCAGAGACGGCCCCGACGAGCCACCAAGTAGCGATGACGACAGTAGTTCATCCAGGTCAAGGCGATCTCACAGGAGCCACAGTTGGAGGAGACGTTCACGCACGCCCAAGCCTCGGAGACGACGGTCATCGACTCCCCGACCAAAACGAAGGCGGTCGTCACCAGACGATGACGGAGGAGACGGAAGCAGCAGCAGCGACACTTCATACTCGTCTTCTAGCACTCACTCAAGGTCTAGACGTCGTAGACGAAGACGTTCTAAAGATAGCGTCGTTATTCCTTACGGTCGGATTGCCCCAACTATAGACGCGAAATTGAAACAGGAAGACTTACCGACGTGGGATGGCAACCCCAACACAGCAATCGAGTACTTTTGGAAGGTGCAACAACAGGCCACCTTGGGGGGGTACATCCCTTCCGCGCTAGGATATTGGCTCTGGTTGAAGCTGAAGGAAGGATCAGACGTCCAAAACTG